GCCTTAAAGTCAACTTGGATTCATGCAACTCCTTTATGTCAGAGTAGAGCTGTGCTCCATAGGGTTCCTGATGGGTGAATTTTTTGTAAGTAGATCACCAGACCTTTCTTCTGAGGTACTTCTGGGAGGACTCAAATCTCCAGTCTTGCATTTGGCAGCTGAACACATTAAATGTACCATCCAGGGGCTCCTCCTGACCTGTCCCATCGCTGCAGGGCTGCCAGGTGAGAGCCTGCAGATGGAACAGTTGTAGCCCACCACTCTGGGGATGACTTGTTCTTCCCCAGGGCCACCAGAGAACAAGGAGCTTTTCCCACATTCAAACCCTTCCCCATAGAAAGCAGGTGGCCCTCTCCCTGGTCTACTTCCTCCTCCTTTACCTCGAAGGAGGGGCATGAGAAGTAGCTTCAGTCCTGGCCAGCACATCCCTGCCCCTCAGGCCACATCTCTGTGAAGGCCATCTTGTCTGAGGCAGCGGGATAGAAGCTGGAATCAGCGGATTAAAATGTGGTCTCCAAGAAGTCCTGGTAAGGCACAAGGTGGGTTTGAACCACAAGGTCGGTGGTTCAAACCCACCAGCTGCTCCTCGGAAACCCTATACAGGGTCACTATGGGTCGGAGCTGACTGCACTGAGCAACATCAACAAGGAGCTGGGGATGGAGGTGGAGTAGGGGTGGGGCTGGGAATAGCGGCACAAGGCCTCTGAGGAGTGTCTGCTTATGCCTCCATTTCCTGACTGAAAATGTACACAGTAATCTTTGCCCTGCCTCTCACCCTCAACCCATGTCAGTGACTGTGACAGGAAGATAGATGCTGATCTGTCTTTACCCCTGGTTTTCCTGTCCCCACTCTTGGGGCCTGAGAAAGCAGAGGGAGAGAAACACAGAACAAAGACCCAATGTCTCCTCTTTCTGCTCCCCTGGGCCTGGTCTCACCACTCTGCCTGGTTCAGGGACCCCTGACACTGCTCTGCGTCAACTCCTTCCTCGCTACTTAGTCTCATTACAAAAGCTACCTTCTCTTCCCCCATACCAAATCATACCCATTGCCACCAAGTGGGTTCTGGCTCACGTCAACTCCACATGTTAGGATAGATTTGTTGAATCATATTTTGTTGGCGCTGTGGGCTAATGCGCTGGAATGCAAGGTTGGTTTGAACTACAAGGCTGGTGGTTCAAACTCACCAGCTGCTCCTTGGAAACCCTACACAGGGTCGCTCTGAGTTGGAATCAACTTGTCGGCACTTCACCACAATTTTTACAGAAGCGATTGCTAGACCGTTCTTCCTTGGTGCCAGTGAGTGGATTCAAATCAACCTTTAGGTCAGTGGTTGAGCACAAACCTTTTGTGCCACTGTTGTTGTTGTCAGGTGCCACTGAGTTGATACCGACCCATAGTGACCTTATGCACAGCAGAACAAAACACTGCCCAATCCTGGGCCAACCTCACTACTGTTGCCACGCTTGAGTCCATCGATGCTGCCACCTGGCCAATCCATCTCGTTGGGGGTCTTCCTCTTTTCCTCTGACCCTCCACCTGACCAAACATGATATCCTTTTCCAGCGACTTGTCCCTCCTGACAATATGTCTAAAGTATGAGAGATAGAGTTTGGCCATCTTGGCCTCTAAGGAGCACTCTGGCTGCACTGCTTCCAAAACAGATCTATTGGATCTTTTGGCAGCTCATGGCACTTTCGGTATTCTCCTCCAACACCATAACTCAAAAGCATCAATTCTTCGATGGTCTTCCTTATTCACTGTTCTTTCGCATGCATATGAGGTTATTGAAAATACCATGGCTTGGGTTAAGTGCACCTTAGTCCTCAAGCTGACATCTTTGCTCTTCAACGCTTTAAAAAGGTCTTGTGCAGCAGATTTGCCTAATGCAATACCTCATT